CCCCAAAACCCCAAAACCCCAAAACCCCAAAACCCCAAAACCCCATGATAGACAGCTAAAATTGAAATGGCTTCCAATATTTGCTAAACATTGAACAGAGTTGATTTCAATCTCTTGTGGATCATCTCTTTGATCTTAACCTTCTGATAATATTGGCTCTTGGTGAGCTTCCTTCTTGACTTAGAAAGGTAATCTTTATCCCATTTACTTGGGATCATTCTTAATCTCTTATTAAAGACAGGTACTTCTTTCATCTCAACCTGAGAGTTTGCTCTCCTCGACTTATTTCTTACTCAAGGTGCTAGTAGCCAAAGTATCTTGATGGCTTTGTCTACGATTGAAGAAATCAGTGCGGGTGCTTTTTAAACTCCTCTGCTCATTCCTGTGAATTACTTCCTTGGTTACTTCCTTCACGATTTGAAGACTTTCTTTGGTGAATCAATTCCGAGCTTTGTTATAATCGAAATTATATTTCTTTGTTTCCTCAGTTTCCCTAAATATTAGTTTTAAAAATCACTTTAATTCTTCACCAATTTCCTTTCGTTTTTCTTGAAAAGGGCAGATTACTTCGTAGTCATACTTTTTCTAAATTTATAAACTTGAAGGATCTACAATATGTCTTATCTTATTTTCTCTCTCTAGAACATAAGAAGTATTGCCTTACTTATTTTCATCAAATCTGAATCATGGATTATACGTTGTGTTGACATGTTATCTAGCCCTTCCAGGAGGTTATCTATTCTATTCCTACAATAGGTGAGGGGAGATGCTGTTACTTATGGTCACCAATATGCTCTTTAAATTGGTGTTTGATGCTATCCATGATTGCTGGTCTCTTTAGTCTTTCTCACCTAAGGAATGATAATTCTAATTACTTTGACATGATTTTATCATTATTTCAAAAATATCAGTTGCTTTAGAAAGTCTTTGCCCTTCTGCTTCCCAAGCCTAAGTGTAACTGTATTCTGAAGTGAACTATTCATTGATAATTTCTTTTTCAATGGAGCTTTGTCTTTGTCCTGATGAGGAACTACTTCAGTACCAGTAATGCTTTCTTGTGAAACAGAAAGATTGTCTTCTTCCTTGATCTTATTTTTACAAAACTTGCTCTTATTTCTAGCTCTGTCTAATGAATCATCATTTTCTGAGCTATCAGAAGATAGGATGCTTCTTTCCCTTGCCTTATGGAATTCATGGAAAATCCTAAAAATTATAGCTATATTCTTACCTATCAAGATTCTTAGAGAGAGCTTTGCTTGACAGTGGGTTCATATGAAATTGAGATTTCTAAAGTTACCCTTAATTCATACCTTCTTCTCATTATTTACAGAACATAGCATATGAAGAAGAGAACCGTTTGAGAGAACCATCAAGACCATTTACTTCATCTTCTAAATCAGCTGCCATTTTCATATAATTTTTCTTCATAACCTCAGGTAGTTTTCTCTTGCTGATGCTGTTAACCTTATATTTCTTGAAAAACTCCAGATCTCTATATTATATGAATACTTTCTAAGAATAGAATAAACAGCACCAATTAGGACAGATTTAGGAAATAGCAATTGTTCACTCAGAATTTACCCAATGAAGCAGCATATTCTCTAAATCCTATTAAAATCCTTATTTTTGGGAATTTTATTCTATACCTACCCAACCCACACAAAATTTAGGACTTACTGCAAATCAGATTCTTTATTACTGCTCATTACCCTCCTCAATAAATATTTCAATAAAAATAATTAACTACGGGGTTTTGGGGTTTTGGGGTTTTGGGGTTTTGGGGTTTTGGGGTTTTGGGGTTTTGGGG